TTTGATGCTCAATTGCATCATGTAGGTGTTTGAATCAGTGCATCTTATTTCCTATCTTAATTGGACACTATTACAACGTTGCAATGATTGGTTCTATCCCACATCGTGCTCAAACTTCATCATCGTCCTCTTCCTTAAATTCTGACCTTTTTCGAATAAAATACACCGAAATTACCATGTCTGACAGAAACTGCAAGTGCGCTCTCGCTACTCCTCCCGTAAATTCGACACAGTCGCATCTCTTCTTGACCGCCACCTTTCTCCAGAATAACTGGGTTGCAATCATACCATTGCATATACCAACTTCAGGAATATCTTTACAGCTATAAGATCTTTTCATGAAAGCACGTCCCAGCTTGTATTCCCACCAAGTTTTGAATTTTTCTTTCTCGGAGAAACTCTTCAAGGAACCTCGTTTTCTAACATTCGGTTGGTTCCAGACTTGATTACTAGACTCTTCCTTTCTTTCCAAGATATGCCCTCTGGTTAAAAGTGGGATTACCATCTTGATAAAAGCCGCAGGCCAATGTCCTTCCATGGCTCGATCTTCCAGGTATCCGTAGCCGCCGATTTCAACTACTAATGTCTCTCCGTTGATAGAATTAAATCCTTCAGGATCTGGTACAGTTTCAAATCCGTATTTTGCAAAAAATCTTGCATCTTGAGGGCAGAACTCTGGATCTTGCATCAAGTTCCTGGCGTTGGGTGAAATTTCTGTAATGATTGTTAACATCCTGGTTCCTACCCATTGATATTTGACTAACTTACCTAAGATCTCCATAAGTTTCAGAAGTACCCCAAATTGTTCAAAAGATCTCTTTGACTCATTGTAAGGGCGATGAAGAGATCCTAATGCGAAACAAACAACATTCGTTGGCTTTACCTTGCCTTTCATCATGCTCTTAACAAGCCTTCTAAGTTTGGCTTCATCCTCACTGCCGAGCTTGTATTTCTCAAATATCGCATCGAGTGCCGATTCCTCAAAACGACGGTATCCAGACCAGCCTGTGGTCACTATCAATCCTTCTCCGGATCCAACCCACTCCTCTTGCTCTCTATAAATGTTTATAATTAGATATCGTTCCTAAAACTCTGATGATATAAATTATACATACCTATAGAACTCGATTTTCTCAGCATTGGGAGAAATCAACGAGAATCCGCCTGGACCTTCCGATGAGAATCCATCTGGGCCTTCATGTTCATGCCATTCGTTATCACTTCCCAAAGCCATCCATTTCTTATCTCCATATCGAATAATATCTCCAATATCCCAATGACCCGTAGGTGGAGAAAATGGTGTATCTGTCAATGTAGTGGCAGGTGAATCTGCGACCATTTTCACCTCCATTTCTTTGGATTCTCCATTTGTAGATGGAGAATGCATATCGAGGCTCTTGAAAATGTCTTTTGGTGTATCTGTTACCACGCGTATATCCATTCCGCCGAATTTTTTATCGTCTGGGATAGAAGCCATATCGATGACTTTGGTTCTGTTGTTGTGATTATTTGGATTCAAAAACAACGTCTAAATTAAATAACCAGATGTATATATGTAAGTAATTTCGCTTAGAAGTGGGGTCATGCCGTACCTATGAAGTGTTTGAAACGGAAGATTGAACTACAGTGAATGGTGTAATATCTTGGGTTATCTCTGCTATCTATTCATTTATCTGGTAAATTGTGGTGAGCATCTAAATCATTCACTTGATACTATGGTATGATTTGTTACTCTAAGGAATTTGAACAGCTAATGTAAACATTCTTTCTGGGTTTTCAGCTCACTTCAAATATTATTTTCAAAAATAAAGATTATCTAGAATAATTACCTTTGAGTTGTGGGTGAGTGTTTTCTGTCAAATTTCACTCTGCAAAGACACCATTGAAACCTAGAACTCAAATAATTCATCGAAGTTGTAAACTATGAAGAGAGAAGAGCTGACGATGCAGAGCAATCCTCTTTCTTAACCTTAAACCTTGCCACAAATTCCCCTAATATCATATCCAAGAAGCATAAATATGCTTCCGTGAATTATCCTGTCTAAGAAGCTTAGAAATATCGATCAGGATCTCTTTGAGAAAAAAGCGATCCCACCAATCTCCAAATATCTATAACCCATTGAAATTTTCCTCCCACTACTTCTTTTCTCCAGAATAGCTTAGTAAATCTCATACCAGTGCCAATACTACTAATCGCAGGAATCTCCTTGTAATCATAAGTTTTTTGAATCGCCACAAACTTCTTTTTTCCACCCCACCAATTATCCAATGGAGGTCTTCCTTCACCGCGATACCAATTGCGAATTCCCTGTACAATCTTGCTTCTGTTTCCCAAGATATATCCTCTTCCCATTTTAATGAATACTGCAGGCCAAGGACGATCCATAATTCGCTGATTCATACAATTACATCCACCAACTTGGAAGACTAAGGTTTCCTCATTTGCAGCTTCAAATCCTTGAGGGTCATCCACAACTTCAAACCCGCAGCGTGTAAGAAATCTCTCATCTCCTGGTGAAAAATCCGGATCTTGCATAACTTTTCTAGCGGTAGATGGAATCTCTATAGATTATATTAGCTATCAAGGTCTTTTTAGCAAGATCTTTATTAAGAATTATTCATACCCAAAAGTTCCATAATCTTCATGAAAGCAGCCAATTGTCCAAACGATGCTTTTCTCTCTCCAAATCGTTCAAAAGATCCCAAGCCAAGACAAGCTACATCCTTCGGCTTTACTTTCCCTTCTTTCATCGAATCCAAAAAATCTCGAAGCATCTTAACATCTTCGTGCTGGATAGAAGTTCCTACTTTCGTCGCCTCCAAATATTCATCGAATAATCTCTCAAGTGCGACCTCATCTTCATGTTGAATCACCTTCCCCTCCTTCATTGTTTCTGAGAGCTTTCTGAGTGTCTTTTCGTTCTCATGCTGAATTTTGTATTTCTCAAACTCGTTATCTAAGTTTTCCTCTCGTCGTTTGTAACCAGTGTAGCATTTATCGACTTTGAGTTGTTTGCTGTATCCATGCCAATGGTCTTGAAATTTTAACTCCTGTCATTAGGTTTTTGAACTTTCTCTAGAACTCTTGGTACTAAACATCAACTTACCTAAAAAAATCCGCATCTTTAAATCCGCAAAACTGTATCTCAAAAGCATCCGGTCCCTTAGTTTTATGCCATTGTCCATCGCTTTTCAGAGTCATCCACTTCTGGTTGTAGGAAACTATATCTCTAACATCACATGGACCTTTGGGGGGGTGAATGATGTAGATGCGGTGGGTGAAGCTGTGATTGTCGAATTCTCCATATCGGTAGTTCTTCTGTTGTCTTTTGGAGAAGTCATCGTTGCAATCGTTGTACTTGTATCTTCTTCCGTCTCTGAATCATGAGAGTCCTTACTGTTTGTAGTAGAAGTGATGATCGGTTTAGGTGCAGCTGCTTTTGACACCATGTTATTGGATTCTGTGATATCCATCGGAGAAGTCATAATGAAATTTTGACTGTGTTGTTGTAATTATGGAAGTAAAAGTTCAGAATATAAAATCCTTTATGTAACTTCTTAGCGAGATCTTTGCCTCGCTAACGTCACCTAAAATTAATCATGCCATACTGTATTAGTGTAGATTTGGGATTGAATTGGATGAGTAGGTATGTACGGCAAATCGCATGATTTCCTTAGCACGTTTCTGCTATTCACCAACCTTGGCATTTTTAAAAGATCTTTCACATGTAATCCACACTCACTGGAGCCAAAACCTCTTCACGAAAGACATAATAAAGTACCCACAGATTCTATAATTATCAAAAAAGAACGAATGTTATTTTCAATCTACCCTCCAATCTGTAGTTTGTTCTTTCACACAAGTCATTGGCCTTGTCAACAGAATCACCTGTGCTTTAGTCGTCTGTTGTATCACCTGATATTGAGCTACTTGTCTACTGGTACTCCTTCGAGTCATAGGAAAACTGAAACCACGGAATGACCTGTCATTTTATCAATGAGAAATATATTGTTCATTCTTGACGTGGGCTCATGATACCTTGGGAATTTTAGACCATTGATAATCTTGCTAATGGGCTCTCTCTCTCTCTAACTCTCGAATCAATAAGATTTTACTGCTGGTATATAACACAAGCTAGCCCCTCTCTCGACAAATTGAAGTAAATCTATTCCACCATCAACTTCTCATCTCGCAGACTCCCTAACAACATCCTCACCATCTCTTTTCCCAAGCCTACCCATCACCATCTTAACACCCACATCTACAGCATTCCTCTATAAACTCCTCTCCCCTTCATCTTTTCTCCAATACAATCTACCCCTGATCATACCCTCCCCCTACCTACTTCCGGCATTTTCTCCAAATCAAAAAGACTTTTTATCTCAGAAATCTCTCTTAGCTTCTCTCTACGACTACTTTACCCTTATCATCCATACTCCGATATTCCAGAGAACAACTAGCAATAAAGATCGCAGTGCGAGTCCAATGTATCATTCTCTCCATAATAGTATCATGACCCTTTTTATAAAATAAAGACGTTTCTCTATTAATCACATTAACACCCTCCAAATCAACCACAACTTGAAATCCGAATTTCTCTTACATTTCCACGCATAATATCTGGTTTTTGAATAACCTGTTTGGCGGTTTCAGGAATACCTGAAAATGGATTAGGTCCCGCTGCAGAGTAAATTATAGCTGTATATGATATTCCAGCTCTGCAAAGAAAAAGCCTACCTAGCCGTTCAATCAACTCCACAAGCGCAGCAAAGTGACCCAAAATTCTCTCTCTACAGCTAGTATCAACTTCATGAAAAGTTTCTAGTGCAATTAGTATTGTAATTAGTATTTAATAGTATTACTATGACTGATATCCCCTAAGGTGCCAACAAATGGCGCCATCGCTTAATTGGTCAATACTGACCAATCAGAACATCAAGATTTCTCGAAATCTCGATGTTTTAGGGTTTTATTTTATAATAACTATTAAAATACTTATTATTATTACATAAATAAATATTATATTCTTAATATTCTTATTTATTTTTATATTTATTATTTTTTAATCTAAAATTATTAGATATCTTCTTTAATATAATTCTTTTTATATCAAAAAATCAATCCTTATATATATAACAATCTCTTTTCTTTCCTAAATTCATTAAATAATAATCTTTTAGTAAACTAGAACTTTTAATTAGAATCTTTAGATTATATTTTAAATCTTTATATTAATATTTAGATCCAAATTCAATAATCAACTCTTAAGAAATTAATTTTCGAAAATCATTATATTTAAGAGATTTTATTGTATTATACTTTAAAGCAATCTCCTTATAAATCAAGTAGCAATTAATTAAAATAATAACTAATAATTATTGTTTTATTATTTGATAATCTTTATAATATTAATATTGATATTCTAGCATTAATAAATATAGTTGATTCTTTATATTAATAGAATTCATATTGAAATTATAATTGTTATAAAGTTTTGAAATAAATAATATCTTTTTCTATTTATTTCCAAATAATATTTTAATTATTTTAGCTTTTGAAAAGATAGGTTATAATTATTTGCATAGTTTTCAAATAAAATCTTTGCTATTATATATTATAGATTATATTAAAACTAATATATTATTTTTCTATATTATTTAATATATATTATTTAAAAAGGAAATCCTAAAAAATATTGTTTTTTATAATATATTATTCTTTTTTATATTTAAATCTTTAAATTAATAAAATCTTAATGAATTCCTAAATTCGTTTTATATATCCCTATTACAATATACCCTAAATGATATATATATTTCAATAAGTTATAAAAAACAAATAAATTATTAAGATAAATATAATATAAAGTTTTAAATAGTTTTTATATTAAATATATAATTATTATTTATATTTTATTTAAAGATTTCTCTCTATTTGTTAATCCTAAAAGAGAAGGAATTAAGATTTCTATAGGATTATTCTTTTTCTTTAATTTATACTAATTTCATATTATAAAAAATCTTTAATCTATAGTAATCCATATTTTAAAGCTAATAAATATAGATTTATTTTTAATAATTGTAATATATATTAATTAATTGGTATAATATGTAATATATTTATTTATTACAATTCGATTTTGAAACTATCAAATTGAGAGATTAATTTTTTGAATATAATTTAATAAAGAATTTATCTATAAAGAATTATATTAATATATTAATTTTAAATAAGAAAATTGATATTTTACTTTTTCATAAATATCTTTTGTTTTAAAAGATATAATATAATATTATATATAAAATTTTTAGAATCTATTTCTTAATATAAAATATATAAAAGAATATGTAATAGCATCTTTATTATATTTCTAATAAGGTTTAATCTTATATTTAGAATAAATGAATATATATATATATCTAAATATAAATAAATCTTATCTATTATTATAGGATACTACGAAAATGCTTATAAATTCGAAAATTCTTTATTTTCTAATATTTGTATATATAAATTCATTTATTTTATAATCGATTCTATTATCTTAATAAAAAAATAGAAATAAAATAAAATAAATATATTACAATCTCGAATATTAGCTTATAGAATAAATTCTTGATCGAAATTTGTATAATCTATAGATTTGAAACAAATCCTTATTTTTGAAATAGAAGGAATATTTAGATATAATATTCCTATATTAGTAGAATCAAATTATATATTATCTAAAAGTATATTAATAGAATTATTGTATATAATACATTTATTGATTTCTATATTATCAATATTATTCACAAAGTTATTAATATTCTTCCTCAACACACAGGCCATAATTGACGCCATTTGTTGGCACCTTAGGGGATAGATAGTATAATATGCACGCTAGTATATATAATGGCTAATGATATATATATTTTTACATATCATATAAAAGTAGTTATACTAAGATATACTGAAAATGAAAATTTATATATTTTGAATAATTTCTTTCCTTATTAGACTTAAAGACAATCAAAACATGTAATATTTGAATAAAAATATACAATACTCGAGTAAAAATATATGAATTCCTATTTTTCAATATATTGTTAGTAATATTCGATATTATTAAAATATAGTATACTTTCAATGATATATGATTCAATAATAATTACTGAAATATCTTAATAAATATCAATATATATCACTAAAGTGGGGCATGATTGAAATACAGAAAATACTATTTACAACACTGAGCGCTATACAAACCACATTTTTCGGACGAACCTTCCCTTCTCCATTATATTCATCAGGGCTCTCATATTCTCTTAATCCATACCCCTAAGTCTATGTTTTTCGAATCCGGTAGAGGCTTCAGACCCCTCCTATCACGGAGTAGAGCCATAAGAAACTGCAGGAATCGAATAATATCATTAATTATCATAAACTATAAAGATATGAGTCAAGGTACGAAGAGAAACTGTATTTATACCCTCCCTCTTCTCATGTGCTCCCTGATACTTCCCAGCGAATGTATTCCTTGTTATTTGATCATTCAAACGAATTTTTTTGGTCCCCGTATATAGCAAATGACTACCTACTTTCCTATTAAAAATACTCAGCCAACTCCTCCACCCTTCCTCCCACTAATCATCCAACTAAACAAAACAAAACAAAACAAAATAAAATCAACAAACACGCCTCCAACCCCCCTCAAAACTCAACTCTCCACCATGCACAACACCAAACCCAGCAGATCACTCCAATTCCCCAAAAGGTTATTCCACCATCCCATCACTTTCCACGAAAATTCCCAAATCCCATAAAAGTGCAAGAACAAGAATCGAGGAATCGCTAAATAGTACTAAGATAGTTAAACTCATACTTGTCATGCTTTACATCAAAGATATATATCCCGTGAGAAGTCCTAGGAGGATTCTTATTCCAGACTATAGGAACGATACTTGAAAGGAAAAATAATTTTTTACTCGGGCGTTGTTGTTTTGAGTAATGTTTCTATATGGTGAGAGTTTACGGTAGAGGAGAAGAAGGTTTATTCTTATGAGTTTTGAGATTTAAGAATTATTTATACATGCTTAAGTATTATTACCTCAAGTATCTATAAAATCTATATATATATGCATTTATTCCATCCTCCAACTACTCCTATACTGAACTCCTAACCCCTTCTAATTCTATAAAGATTTCATACTCGAAGACTCAGATTCTAGGATTTTCTTCCCCTTCCTCCTATCCCCCGTTCAAAAATGTTAAGATTAAGATTGTAAATTTTAATACTCGATTTTAGATTCTATGTTCCTTTTGTAAAATCTATACTTCTTTTATTATAATATCTAGTCTTTTAGTATAAAATATACTTTATATAAGTATATATACAATTTTAAATTATCAGTCATTATCATATTTTACACACTCAATAAACAATCTCTCCATCTTCTTATAAAACCGCTTAATTTATCATATATTATAGAGAGAGATTTTTACATCTGATATTCTATATCAAACTTATACTTCTTCTGTTTCTCTCTTCTCTGCTCCCACTACATCCGAATCCCAAATTCCAAACACTATTTTAATTTCACTTCTAGTAGAAAGACACACCTACATAGCTCAATCTAACAATCTAACAATCAAAAAAGTAACTATTTCAGCATCCACTACCCCCTGGTCGGCCCCCGGGTCTCACCGCAACACTCTCAGCCTACACTATCTCCTCCCTCTCCCTCCCCCCTTCACACGCGCGCTTATATATTACTCTCCCGTCCCCTCTCTTCCGTCGATCTCGCTGCCCCCTTTCCCCCCCTTTCCCCCTCCATCTCCCGCTACCCCCAAGAAACAAATCTCCATCTTCTCATCTCCATTACTGTTCGCTCATTTATAAAAAACCATATCCTAGCGTTCCAGGATTTTTAATACTAATGACTTAATTACTTAACTCTTCAAATATTTATCAATCCATCAATTCATCAACTCTTCAACCCAACTCCTATTTTCCCTCTCAAGAAAAACCACTACCACCCTCATCCCTCCACCTCATCGCTCCATCCCTTTAGGCCTCCATCCCTTCATTCATTACTTTATCCTTTTCTTTTATCTTATACTCAAATTCCACGTTTTATTTATATTTAATTTATATCTTATATGTATATTTATATTTATATTTATATTTATATTGATCTTTATTGATCTTTATATGTATATTATATTATATTTATATTTATATTTATATTTATATTTATATTTATATATTATATTTATATTTATATTTATATTCCACATTTATATTCACATTTACACTCACCACTCACACTCACACTCAAACTCAAACCCAAACCCACCCAAACTTCACTCTCAGACCTCCAGCACCTCCAACACCCCCAGCATCCCCCTCCCCACCTACGAAATCCTTCAACTAATTCCCACACCTACTCTCATCTCCAACCCCAACCCTACCAACCCTACCAACCCCACCAACCCCCTATCGTCCTCGCTAATCCATCAACACATTACATCACATTACATCAAATTGATCAGAAACATCTCCCTATGCTCTGCTCTATTCTCACATCATTTAGCTAGCTATCCATCTCTTCTTTATACTTCCTCTTCCTCTCGCATCTCTTTTCCTCTCCCTCTCCCTCTCCCATCTCTCTCCCTCTCCATATCCAGATCCATATCCATATTCACATTCATATTCATATTCACACCTAACCAACCAAATCGTAATATTCAAGTTTAATCAACTCACTCATCCATCCATTCATCCACTCACTCAATTCAACACAAAACAAAAGCCAATAATCATCCTCAAAAGATCTTTTCTATTTATCTTTTCCAATCTCATCACATCTATTCTACTCTAACACTAACATCTACAAACTCCCCCTTCATTTCTCTCGCAATATTTGGTATCAGTATCCATTGCAATCATTCTCCATTCTCTCATTCTTCCCCACACTTCTTTTCCTTTCATATCCTCCCTTCTTTGCATCTCCATCTTTCTCTCCCTCCTCCTCCACTTCCATCTTCACCTCATCTAAGAAGAAGAGAATGACAAATTCAAACTCCTAAACACCCATCTAACGCAATAAAGAATCTCATCGAAAAAACGCCCGCAATTTTGTGAGATATGTACATGCATGCGTGAAACAAAGTGGTATTCATATTATACAATCGACGTTGAAAGATATGAAAAGAAGCGATAAAAAGAATGACATAAACATTAAATATTGAATTGTGTATGTGCGTGTGCGTGTATACACTGAAAACTCGAGGTCGAATATGAACTGTAATTGATTTTTGATTCCGAAAAAAGTAGAATCCTCGAGATGAAATATCGATTTTCGCCGATATGAGCTTCGAAATGCTAATAGACGTCGAAAAGGACGTCGAACTTCAATATAGGAAAGAGGTATTAACTCCAAATTGGGCTAAACGTATTTTTGAGTTTTCAATGTTTTTGATTTATACTGCACCTGTTGCTGGGTAATACCAAGCACATACTGCAATAATTCTATCAAATGTTAGTGAAAGGATATCACGCAGGAAAACGAATTCAAACTTACATGTAAAGACATTGTAAAAGCATTCCTTCCAACCAATGACTTTTACCATCACCAATCAAATAATTGACGAGTAAAATAGCCACAAATAAAACCGCAACTTGGAAACCATCGAAACTCAAGTTCATAGCATCATTTCCCATGATCCATCCGATAACAACCAGTAAAGGAATGAGGAATAAAGCAACTTGCATACTAGATCCAACAGCTACACCAATTGCAAGATCCATCTTATCCTTGCAAGCGACTGTTACAGCAGTAGCGTGCTCTGCAGCATTTCCAACAATCGGTAGAAGAATGAGACCAACAAATTCTTCCGAGATACCACCACCTTCAGTAATTGCACTGATACTATCAACCATGAATTCTGCACAAAGTCCAATGATAGCAGTACAAATTGCAAGGGTTGCCCAAGCAACCAAGATGTGCAATTGTGCTTCTTCACCTTCTTCCTCTTCATCTTCCTCGTGTGCGTTTGGGTTGATAAGTTCATCGTTGGGTGGTCTCTCGGCAATATTTGCTCGACCAGGTCCTGCTCCAATTCCTCCAGCCTTGGCCAAACCCTTTGCAATTGCACCTTCTGGTAAAGCATGCTTGCGTGGTCTCATTGGTACCTTTTGACTTTCCTCATTGAACATGGTAGAATGAGTATGTAATTGAAAGTAAAGATAACCAATGTAGACCACCAAAAGAATGACTGAAGTACCACGTGAGATAGCTGCAATTGGAGCATCGGTCGTGTCACTCCATAAATCGAAGGCGGTTGGAACAATGACACTAGCAATAGCCAAGGCCAATAAACTTGCAGCGGTTTGAGCAACTGTCTGGTTAAAGAATTGTTCTTCTCTTCGAAGTCCTCCAAAGAAGAAGCACATTCCCATGACGAGTAATAAATTGGATAAAATACTACCAACCAAAGAAGTTTGAACAATGAGAACTTCTCCTTTGGCCAAGGCAATAATAGCGACAATCATCTCGACGGCATTTCTGATGCAAGTTAGTAAGGGCCATCAAGACATAAATCGCCAATCATGATACATACCCAAAAGAAGCATTTAATAAACCTCCCAAACTTTCGCCAACATGAAGAGCAATCTCTTCCGTAGCAAAACCTAACATAGCGGCCAGTGGTATGATGGCAATGAAATTGACCACGAAAATAACAATTCCATTTACGTTGCCAGCATAATTGAGTGCGATACCGATTGGTGCCGCGATAAGTAAAACGTTGATCCAGGAATTGAAGATGGTATTTTGCAATTGACTCCTCAGAGTGAAAGGCTCGTGTTTGATATCCTTTCCTCGAAAGATTCCACCTTTCTTCTTTTTCTCTTTCTCTTCACCATCGACTTCTTCCCTACCCTTCTTGGTAAATCTGCTAAGGAATCGTCGTCGAGCTTTTTCCTCTACACTCGGTTGCCTCGAAGATTGACCTCCAACAATTGTTGCTTCCGTACTTGGATCGCTAGGACGTCCAGCATTATTTGTCGCCGACTTTTCTAAATCTTGCATTTCCATTGCTGTGCCTGCATTCTGTGAGTTGAAAAATGGTGCTTGACTCGCTGATGATCGTGGTCCATTCTCGGTATTTATCGTTCGTAACGCAGGCTCTTCTACTCCTCTTAAGGCTTCTTCATCGGGAACTTGAGCGGGAAATGTACTGCTTCGTCGAGTGGTTTTCGAAAAAGGATTCCATTCAGTTCCTGGACCATGCCATGCTTCTTGTCGCGCCGCGCGCTTTGTTGTATCTAAATTGAACATGATTGTAAGTCTTCACCCATCAATAATTGGGAAGGAAAATCAAAACAAATAAATGTAAATTGATGATAAGGGCATTGACATGATAATCAATGGCAAAAGATGTTAGTGAGAAAAGGAATTAACTAACAAAGGTTATAATCGTTTGGAGCCATGTTTTGTATTATCAAGTTGACAAACAATGTATGGGGGGGATTGATGATTCGAAACTTGACCTTTGAAGGTGGATCTTACGACTAAATAATGGTCGTGGTCGTTGACGAGGTTCTGTTCGTATAGTAAATAAGGACTAGGTAGGGAGGGAGGGAGGGCGGATAAGGTACAGTCAGGCGTTATTCCTGCAGACCCAACTGATGTTGATGGTGGTGCAGATGGTGGTGCTGATGGTTGGCGCTTCAATGATTGAAGAACGGTGGTGGATGAATGTGAAGAATATAGAGTTGAATTGAGAAGTGACACCCTTTTTTTTCCAAGTGAGCTGATCGTTTTTCCTAGACCAGAGTGATTTCGTTGATTGGAATTGGATGGTTCAGATCTAAGTTCCCATGCGTCGTCCGTGTCCCGTTCCTAGGAGGTAGGTGGAGGTAGGATATGTAGGATAGGTAGGAGTTGTTGATTTGTTGATTTTTTTTTTTGGTAGGTAATTATGGTAATTGTGGTAATAAGATTAAATTGTATGGAGTCCTAGTCGTAGTACCTGGGTATTTTTTTGACAAGGGGTATAATAACTTAATGAGAGATCCTTCGTAAGAGATAATCCCAAGGACAAGATAGTTATGTACTTCGTGGATACCGGTAGAAGACTTTAACTTTTATGTTCTCATAAGAGGCGAATTGAAGTATTGTAATGACCTTTTAGGAATTGATTCCTTTCTCAACCTTTCTCTTTTTCTGATAGGCAAATTTAAAGAGGTGGCTTAGATGTTGACGTTGGGTATTTGGATTTGGATTTGGATGTGGATGTGGATGTGGATGTGGATTTGAATTTGATGATCTTTTGCGTCTACGAGGTCGTTCCTGGGATAATTTGCCCCAGAAATTCTGGCTGTAGAAGTGCGAGTGTGGCTGGTGGTAGAAGGGATCTCTTCGTAGGTCGATTTTCTCGAAGAAAGACCTGTGGCCTAGAAGACTAAAAGAGGCTGAGGTCTGATGTGGAATCACAAGTGGTGGTGTGGGAAAGATGATGTTGGTAGGAGAGAGAGATCGAGAGAGAGAGAGAGAGAGAGAGAGAGAGAGAGAGAGAGAGAGAGAAGAGAAGAGAAGAGAGAAGAGAACAGAAAGGGAAAAGATTCACAAAACATTAAAGTGAGTAAAGTGAGTGATGTGAGTGAGGATTAAAAGATGTAAATTTCAAGAGGATCCTTATTTTCTTGGCAAATTTCCTGCAGTCCTCTCTGTGCAGTCTGCAAAGGGTAATGGTCTCCTGGTTGACCAGTTCACCAATTCACCAATTCACCCGTTCACCAACTTTTCTTTGGTTCGGTGATAAATGCCTCATTGGTGCGATACTGTGTATGCTGGATGATGTTATCACGAACAAACGACAGAAAGGGAGGCTTGATGATGACGATGCGAAAAGGATCATAAGATTGTACATTGTCCAATGATATTTAGGGAGGTTGAGAGTTTGCGCAAACTCAAGTCAATTCGTGGCACCAATGCGATGTGATTGATATTATGATTTTCGGATATTATGACTGTCTAATGACATTACTGTGTATGTATTATTATACTGGTATTATCTACAAGTACTTTACACTTGATAATCATCATATAGAATGTTACTATTCACAGATAGTTATACTTTCTTCAATAATCCATTAATAATCCATTAATAATCCATTAATAATCCATCAACAATTCATTCCATTCTCCATTGTCCATTGTCCATTGTCCAATTCTGAATCTCGAGTCTTGAATCCCATATCCTAACCTATATCCTAACCTATATCCCATCCCATATCCCATCCCATATCCCATCCCATATCCCATTCTCAAACCTTCAATCAAGCATTTACCCCTAAAACCAAGGAATCTTCCTCAAGAAAATCAAGAATTTCTTATTTCCTCCCAAATCACCACCACCACCACCACCACCACCACTTACATCTTGATCTTGCCATCTTGGCGCATTTCACAAGAGAAGCCAATAATCTTGATTTTGATCAAGCTTCTATCAATGAAATATTGGCATACATTAGTTTGGGATATCGATAACGACACTTCATTACTGTTGGTCTTTGTACTACATACATATATACATATATACATACACTTGATATCGTACTACAGTGCATTCTCTACTTTTACCAATACCGAGTAGAAAACTTCAATCAATCCCATAATTGACACGTCCAATAATTAACACTTCCAAAATATCAACCCAAATCTCAATCAACAATACCAATCCAATCAATCTCACTCAATCACAAACAAGCGCCTGATTATGTGATGACGACGACATTATAATTATTACCCCTTAAGCCAAACCCCCACCATCCATGAACGATTCTCCCGGGGTCGCATATCGGTCGCTTGAACGCTTCAAGCTTGTTACTCCAAATCATTTACGCTGTGGTGCATATCGTACATATTTCTTGAATTTGAATTTGAATTTGAATTTGAATTTGAATTTGAATTTGAATTTGAATTTGAATTTGAACTTGAACTTGAATTTGAATCTGAATCTGAATCTGAGTCTGAATCTGTGCTCACTACTCACGAACATTTGTGTAGCGGCTAACCTCCCTCATTAATCAATGTCGACATCGATAGTATGACTTTACCGATAAGTATAACACACGGCATCATGAATCATCATCGATAGCATATCAAATTTCAACACATATACACAAACACAAACACACACTCAAATCTCAAACCCTCTGAATCATTGAACAAAACCAAATTCATCCATCGCACACATGATCCAGTAGTTTCTTCATTCAATGCGGGGACTAAATTGAACTGGACGGGGATAAACCAATCCATTCTATCGCATCAAAACACCCGTCCCGTGCTGTGGTTGAATAAAGTTTCCACCTCGCTATCCCACCGACTGGTCTATAGGCTATCATTGATGAAAAATTTCAACATAGCCACACAATCATCGCTGAAAATCCATTTCCTTCGTCCATTTTTGCCCACATCACACATCGCACATCACACATCATCACATCGCCATTCGAATCACCACCAGCACCCCCGTCATTTCAATTCCTCTCCCTCGATATCAAATCATTACACACTCACGTGATACAGTCCATACACACACACACACACACACATAACACAACTACCGGGAACTACCGAAAGCTTCTACAAATCGTGACTCGTGGCGAATACTGCGATCGAATCATACATACCAGCAAGATGAAACATCAGTCCATGCTACCGACAACTCATGTCTTGGGATGCAGATCGCTTCTGGACGGAGAATCGGTTGGTACAGTACCTACGAATGAATTGTGAAGAAGAAATGAGGGCCAAGAACAGGATCATAATATTCATGTGATGTGGCTGTGGCTGTGATATTATGGGCCCCACCTCTATCTATCTGTGGCTGATGAATGATGAATACCTGCCTAGTCAACAAGTGGCAACCTAGTTCATTAGGCCATGAAATAAAATCGGTGAGCGACGAAACTATGGATGAACTGAACGAACCCAGAGCACAGAGTGTCTCGCATCTCGCATCTCGCATCCCTATCCGCACTACGATACACCACCTCGAGACCACATACCACACAAACCATCCCGCAAATAACGGTGAGTACCCGATTATGAATAAGCCTTCTCTGCGGGGTTACCCACGAACAAATCCATGATGAGCTGTACATCGCATCCATCGCATCCATCTACGCAGAAGATTTCCTCGCTCGCTTCAGTTCCTACGTACTCCATCCATCCAGGTATCTCCACGGACGGAACGTAAGCAGCGTGCCTCCGTACGAGCTGGATGGCTGTGAGAATCTGACGTGTCACATAAACATGCTCGTTTCTCGTTTGAGTATGCTTCGCGGGTGACGCCAACGAATCTTCATTCTTTCGTTCGTTCGTTCTTTCTTTCATTTCTTCTTTCTTTTTGTTGGGCCTTTCGTGTGTAATCATTTCGCAATCGTAATCTTCAGGGGTGAATTATGGATTTCAAATGTCAGTAAGCTCGTAAGTCAATTCGCGATGCTCGTGGCATGGTAAGGCGAATCGAATGCAGGTGTGCGCGCCTGCGTGCGCGCGTTTAAAGGACCCGAATCCAGTACCTTGGGCCGTAAGGCTGTGGATGCGGCTTGGTTGGGGTTTAGGTTGGGGTTGCCTCGTCTTATCGTTATTTTATTTTTGCTCGAGGTCTTTTTTGAGGCTTGATTGGGCGTTGGATTGTTGGGTTTGGGCGTTTCGGATGGCAGGTTGATGGGTGAGTGGGGGTTGGAAGGGCTTTCAGGCAGCACAGCATGTTGAAGAGATTTTGATATGAGGATACCTGTGATATTGGATGAGGCGAGGATGAGTTGCGTGGCTAGATTTGATATGTGTAGGTAAGTGGTTCATAGGGTTTGGGCTTGAGGGAAGTTTTTTTTTTTTTTTTTTCGTATGTTGGATTTGATCAGTTGAAAATCTTCCTGTTTTTAGTATTGGAAGTGTCGAGTAGAGTATCTAGTAGACCTGGAGTAGTTCATTTGCTCTCGAGAATCAAAATTTTTACTTCTTAAACTAGCAAAGAGTATAGAAGTATTTTGAAGTGTAGATTTCAATTCCAATGGTAAAAATACAATTATCGCTATGCTATCCCTCTATGTTCCAAGAAATTCCATCGAATAACTACCATTCAAAAATCACATCTTACTAGTCTCGTCGTCTTTGCCCAGAAGATCCATCGATCGCGTCGCTATCACAATGTATCTTCTTCGAGAGAGTCGACTATATTGTTCGTCCGACTTACCACAAGTCAAGTTGTATTTGATTCGGTGTCGAATCTGTGTTTAGAACGCTTATTAACTGTCTAAGGACATCACTTTAAAGTAGAGTGTTTAGAGGATCTCAGGTAGAATCAAGAACTGATAAGAAAGGATTACAAGTGTAATGATTCGAAATTATAGACTTCCTTCATTCTTTCTGCAGTATGGATAATATGTTAATGAGAACGTATCTGAGTATACTATCTTGTTCTCCTCTGTAATTTGTATCACGCCGCTAACGACCTTATTTTCCAAGAGTCTATACGAGTAGGTATAGGTAGTTGAATACATAAGAGCTGATGGAATCTCATAACTACCGAATTAGGAATATCTGACTTGCTTTTATATCTCATACTTTTTGATCAACATATTGTTCGATGCACTCACGACTGCATCTAAGTTGGAACTCCTCGATACTCAAATGAGTTGATGAATGAATTGATAGACAGCTCCGCCTTTTAGATCGTGGCTCGTTCAAACTCTGCCCATTCGTATTCTGAAGGGAAAGAAACTTGTATGTATCATTCTTCATTTGATATCGTTCCACAACATGCGCCCCTTTCAAATTTCTTCCGTATCACCAGCCTGAAACATGAATACTGTCGTACCACGAACCACAAGACACAAGATCGGATGGATGGATCGGATTAAATAGAAAATATGTTTCAATTCTCGAGTCTTCATGATATCATGATATCATGGTAGTTTGATTAAACCGGAAGTTTCTCTTTTTGCATCGAATAGAAGTGTTCCGTTTCTCATATAATATTGGTGGTAAATGGTTACATATACTTGCTTAGATTCCTGAGAACTACTTAAGTACTTCATGATACTACCTAGATACATGATCCTTGTACACAAAACATCGGCGTTGATGGTATTCTCTGCAAATCTTAAAGTGCGGCTTGGAGATAGTTATTCACTAAATCGTAGAGGCAGGCACAACATAGCCGTTTCTATATATAGGTATCAAATTTCAGTCATATAAACCTCAACAAAATCGATAGGTCTTTATACTATCGTCTCGAGTCACTACTCTTCGTCTAATGTTCATAACAGCCACAGGAAAATCTGAATGAGAAGGCTGGGGCATGGACTTTAACAAGACTGCGGTATCAACCCCAGGGCTTAGCATAGGAACCCTACGAGCTTCCAGTGCTTTTGAGAGGTTATATAGTTTCCTTGCCCCTTTGCCAAAAGAGATTCTAATCTACAATAAACACAACATCCAAAGCATACACACCACTACTGAAAAATCTCTTCCTACACATCTCTACTACAATCCCAAGACAAACGCCAAGTTCTCTAGATTTCATCGAATCTTCTCCATCATGATGAAGTTCCTTCTTCTTTTCACCTTTGTTGCCACCATCTGGGCTCAATGTCCCGAACAATCCGAAGCAGGTCGCAGGCTTTATCGTTGCGTCAATACAACCAGTGGTCAAGTCGCCGGTCACCCATCTCCCAAGAAACCAGCCGTGTATGAATATCTCGGTATCCCCTTCGCACAACCTCCTATTGGTGATTTACGATTTGCTCCTCCGCAACCATTTACTGGAAGTGATTCTCTCAATGGTACAAACTTTGTAAGTTTATCTATCTTTGGTGTAACTTTTCAATAACGATTACTAATGATCAATAGGGTTATACTTGTCCAAAGCTTTTCTCAGATGAACTTTCACTCATCCCATCAAATTTCCCAGATGTAGTCGATAATTACACGGCTTCTGGTATTAGTATCCTCGATACCTTTACCCAAGCAGGGGACGGACCTAGAAATAATGAAGATTGTTTGACGCTCAATGTTTGGGTTCCCAAACCAGCTCAAGCACCAGATGTCGGATCAAAAAAAGCAGTCATGATTTGGATCTATGGTGGTGCTTTCAGAGATGGTGCTACTGAATCGCATATTTATGATGGCTCGACTTTTGTGGATCAGGAAGATGTAATCATGGTTAGCATCAAGTAAGTTTATCATTTTCATCTTCATTATCATTACGTCGATCGTCTCACTAATCATTCAAAGTTACCGTGTAAACATCTTTGGTTTCTCCGGTGATTCAACAGGTCCAACTAGTAATTATGGAATGCTCGATCAAAGACTCGCTATCGAATGGGTTTATAACAACATTGCCAATTTTGGTGGTGATCCATCTCGCATCACTCTCTTCGGTCAATCAGCAGGAAGTTGTTCCATCGATTATTATTCCTACGCTTACCCACAAGATCCCATCGTGTCCGCCATGATCATGCAATCCGGTACTATCCCCGCTCTTCCCACATTCTCCTCCTCGCAAGCCTTCTCCTCCTGGAAAAACACCTCCTCATCCCTCGGCTGCGGTGACGCCTCAACCGACCCCACTTCCGTCATGCAATGCATGCGTAACCCCAATCTCACAACCGCCGACATCCTCCAAATCGCCCATCTCTACACCTGGCTCCCTTCCATCGACGAAACCCTCGTCTTCTCCGACTACCCCGCTCGCGCCGCCGCAGGGAATATCACCACCCTCCCCCTCCTCATCGGCAACACCGACAACGAAGCCGCAGTCTTCGCCGCCCAATCCCTCATGTCCGGTCACCCAGTCGATATCCCCCAAATGACCAACTCCACCTTCGCGTGTCCCACCGCCGCACGCGCAAATGTGAGTGCGGCTTCCGGCGCCAAGACATGGAGATATCGCTATTTCGGAGATTTCCCAAACTTGCAAATCCAGAAGGGTGTCGATGCGGGTGCCTTCCATATCAGTGATGTGTATAGCGTCTTCGGCACGTGGCCCACCGGAACAGGCATCACGGGCGCGGGAAAAGAACAAGTTTCGCTCGGAAGATATATGAGAGGTGCCTGGGCGGCTTTTGCAAAGGATAGTGAGCAGGGCTTGAGCGCTTATGGATGGCCGGTTTATAAGCCGGAGGAGGAGTCGGTGATTCGATTGGGATGGAAGAATTCTGCAGCGTTGGTTTTGGATCGTGCGCAGGTTTGGGATGGTACTTGTTAGGTTGTGATGGAGAATTTGCTGAGATGTTGGGGGGACTGCTAGAGGGGATTTGAATCGGGGTTGCTTTCACATTTTAGGAATGTAGATGCGTGGCTTATTTGTGATGATGCGAGAGGGATGATAGATTAGGGTAGGATGGATAGGTTAGGATGGATTTAATAGGGTTTATGACTTTTCCATATGTTGACTTTGATTTGCTTTTGTGTCTCCTTTCAAGATGGCGATGACCATACATACATACACAATCCATGCGAGAATATCAGCCTTGCCTCATCGAGATGTCTACATTGCATTTATTTCGTTCCGTGCTTTCCGATTCTGAATAACTTTGAATAGAATATCAAGTTTCAATAAAAGCAGAAGAAGTCGGACGGGCTGGAGATTCTTATGAATAGTAGCGTCAGTAGTGTTGATAGAAAATTCGTGAAATAAAAAGGAGATCAAGTTTAATTCGGTGCAAGCGAAGTGTATAAATCTGAGAAGTTTGATTAGTTAATAGCTCTCAAGTTACCTAAATAATCTTAAGAAGTATGGTTCTCATAAAATATGAAGGGATTAGTCAATTTGGTGAAAAAATGAAGTCGTAACTTCGATGTGTTTCTCCTCCTACATAGAGATGGGAAACATAGTGTTCCTACGTTTCCATTGATTTTCTTCCGGAACTTCAGATACAAGATACGACAAGGAAATTCCACTCTCCAACACCGCCACTAAAACTTCATCCACACCGTATAGTAAAGTCCAAATTCAGATAACGGCGACGATTCTCAACTCCCCACATATTCTCTCTCCCCGCGATCAATTCCCCAGTATCCTCATTACAATCTTGAAATCCCACCTGAAAACTGTGGAAAATCTCCACACTCACTATCTTCGCATTCCCAAGCTGCTTCTTATGCTGCGCAAGTAACCATCCAATACCTTTCCCATTCGGTGTTCCCAGAAGCGCAGCTCCATGCCCTTTAGAATCATTGATATCGATTGTTAATCCGTCTAGCGGGAAGGTTATTTTTTCTCCCTCCAGGATCTCTGTGATTACGAAGATTGTTCCGGGGTTGGTGATGTGCGATTGGATTATGTGTTTTAGATTGTTGAGGGGGGTGGCTGTTTGAGTGCATTCTTCATGCCATGTGAGATAGGTTATGTCGGACCATGTCTGGAGAGTAGTTGTTGATATGTTGTTTTTTGGCTCGCCTGCTGCTTGTGCCTTTAATTGTTTAGTGAAGTAGGGTGACTCCGAATCAATGGCTATGATTATCCCATTCTGAAAAATTATGCGTTAGTTGGTTTTAGTATCTCCAGGAGTGTGATAACTCAATTCCAGAAGTAGCCCCTTAAAATGCTTCCTCCGGAACTAATGCTTCAATAACTGTGACAAATCCTCGCGTGAATTGTATTAGAAATCTGCTTACCTTTGTATTCATTGCGTAATAGTAATGACCATCTAAACCCTATCTTCAATTAGCTTACATTCTTCATAATGGAGTTATAATTTGATCAAGTGTATTTGGGGGCAAAACGAGATAAAATCAAGGGTATCAACAGTGTTTATCTTTCGCTTCAGGAAAAGGGGTTTAAGGACCACCTGTTCACCACTTGTAACCACAATATAAATCCTGCCGCAAAAATCCTCCAAGCAAACTATAATGAGAAACATCCATATTCTTAAGTTTTCTATTTCTCAAAAGGAATAAATTCCTACACCAACCCCAAATCTCAAACTATATATTTCACTTAAAAGAATGAAAGCAGATAATCTTACCCCAATAGTCTGACCCAACGTACGATCAGCTTTACCGTAATGGCTAGCCAGAATCCCAACCCAATTCTCTCTAAAATTCGAGTTGGTGATTTTCCCTATGTGCTCCAAGACATGGAATACGGATGAAAGTTCATGGCGATCTATGACAATATCCCATCCGTTTTCTTCTCTTGACTCTGGTATGTTGAAAACGCTTTGAGTCGGATAGTCGATCTGCGTGTTTTCATTATGAGAGATTCGTTGCAGCATTAGTTGACCTGCAGTTTTAGCTTCTGAGAACACGTTCATATTTCTGAGCTGAGTATGGTATTCGTCGTGTATCTTTGATGACTGATGGTTGTAAGAAATCGGGAGTGGTAATTCTAGTTTTCATGATAGAATACAGGCAGATTTTATAGCCATGAGTATTTTATTTTGTTTGCCGGGATTTCTCGATTCGGTCATGGGAGCAAATCACTGACTGATTTTGATTAATGTCTTGTGATTAGATAGACAAGTACAAGTGAAAGTTTCAACAAGATATCAGATGCAATACGAAATGAAGTCTTACAATGATTATTCACCAGGCTAATTCAACATCAATTTGACTGATTATTTCAAGCCTAGAAGATGTGGTTCTCTTTGGCAATGTTGAAAAATATCTGAAGTGATATCCTATTCTGTTCATTCTCCTCATCTGGATGTAAGGCTATTATGTGACTTTCATTTGCAGGAACGAGATGAGTTAGATAGAGATGAATCAAAGTATGGAATTTTCAAGCTTGAGAATATGACTGGCTCTAGATTGTCGTCCGCAAGAGTTTATCAAAGTAGAAGAACTATTAAACACAAGCCCACGAGCTCACGAAGTCTTCCTAGGATGGCTCAAATCCAAGAACTAGTGAATAACGCCCATGCTGAGTAGAATAAGTTTATCACATCACGGTGTCTAGAATTCTCCCCGTCTTTTTATTATCATGGTCGAAAGACTACTAAATACATCTATGAATATTGTCAGTGGTCTGCAGATGTATCAAGCATATGAAGAATTGTTGATAACTTGTGATATGTACACTACTAATGTAATTCACTCGTGCGCCATTATTCGTTGGAATGGAAGTCAATATCTTCACCATCTCACGTCTACTTGTTTCAATTCTGATACTCTAATAAATGGAATATCAGTTCCCAAAAATTATTATGAAAACCATAGCTCCATTTCATGCCGAGCCGTGTCACACGTCATTCTCGTATCAAAAACGAGTGAATGGAGCGGTTTTGAAGATATTTACATTGATCAAATGAATCACGTACAATTAGAGTTGGCTCTCAAGTTCTCGGCCTACTTAAAGTTCTCTCTTCAGTTTCTCTTCTTTCCTTCTTCAAGCAATCATGTCAAGCTCTCAGATGGAGACTATGTTGGCGGATATCGATCAAGTACGTGTATTTCTTCCTCTGCGCTCATTCAATCATTTTCATTCCTATTCAAGTTCCTTTCTCCTTTCAAAGCTATTAGTATTACTCGATCATACAATTATTGAGATGAAGTTGTAAGGAGGTGTAAAGCCATCCGATTGGCTCGGCTGATGCACAGACATATTCACCTCATATTCCTCAGATATCTCAGCTTCATATAGAGACTTGATTGGACAATACTGATTTATTTGTGTAGTCAATCATTGATAATTACCATAAACGAACTTGGAGATGATGGGAGAATATAAGGATCTTGATGGTAAGTTTCATTATTTTTAGCGGTCTTCTTGTTATTCCAGTAGCTCTTAATGGGCTACCTTTCGTTAAGTGGCACGTTCAATACCCCTTGATTGTTCTAAGCAGAAGAAATGAGCTCTCAATCTATCCTTTATCTGAATATAAGAGCTGTCTAGTTTGTTCTATTCACCACACCAGCATGTTCAACACCAGTTTTGTCTATTCCTTTCATAAAAACATTTTCACATCTACTATCTGGTTCTTGTCTGAGCTATCATACTACAATTCTTGAGGAAGCAAAAAGACATGAGATTGTCTTTGGATTGAGATTCAAGAACTGTCTGTGATAGTTCTGTCTAAGAGGTTTTCTAGTTCTTGGGTTCTTCTCCAATCCTTCTCCATCGACAATCAATTTCTTTTATTCTCAAAAGAAGGCTGCTTCTCAAATTCTCAAAAAGTCTCTTAGAGAACAGCCCCAAGTCTTGTCTTTGGAAGCATTTTGAACCCAGTTGGTCACTGAATAATATAAACTATTGTATGTTTCTGCCATTCAGAAATCTAATACTTGTCCTCTTCCTGATGAGATGATGTTGAGAACAACTTGAAGAACCACTTTAAAGCCATCTATTTCCTTGTTCTCCTCATGTTGTTTTGAGAATATCCACATCTCATCTTCTCAACCACCCTACATTTTGCTGCAGTTAAGTTGGTTCTTGGAATCAATTTTCGAATTATGTTGTTGGACAACATCATCTCTTCATGTCATCGAGCCATATTCTGAGAACAGTCTACATTTTTTGTTCTTAGGAGAGACTTTAACTTTTTCTATCTCAGCTGAACTCCGGCTACTGCATCATTTCAACAGATTCATACAATCATCCAACAATTTCTTACTCACTACTCGATAATCATTTCTACCACACAGTCCTCTTCACCTTCACCCTAATCAACTTCACCGCCTTCCCAGTACTTTATATCTAACCTCGAACTTCAAAGCTGACTTTTCCTCTTCATCCAAACAAAGTTGTAGCAAATTCTACAACCCCAGAACCTTTATTCGAAACCCATGGTGAGTTAGTTCTATGACTCAATTACCCAACATCCAAACTTTCTTATCTAATTTATCGACAGCTCTCACCATGGCATACTCTCCTTACTTAATGTGCGAACCAATGTACCTGGGAGATGAGCGCTTCCAACGCTGGCCATCCCCAGCCAAAGACGCTGGACCTCAATACCTCACATTCTGTTTCGCAATCTCAAAATATCGGAACAATCAACCTCCCTTCACTCTTAATTTTCCCTCGGATCATGACCTCTATATGAAAAAGGAACAGAGCATGCGCAACAGGATGCCAGATGTGAATCTCGCAGGTATGTCTGGAGATAATTTTATGGATGATATTCCTTGGCCCGACTATCACGATATTGAGATCCCGCCAATATCTGAGAATCAACTCAAAAGTATTGGGCGCAATATGAAACTATTGGAATCCGAACTCCTTGGTCCGATCAAAGGTTCTACAATCAATGATGAGGATTTCATCTTTACAAAGCTTAATTTCAATCACAAGAGAACGAAAGAAGACCCCCTTGAACATATTCCTTGTAATTATTTTGAGCATAAATTCTTCGATGGAAGAGAGCAGAGCTTTGATTCTGCTGTGAGGTATTCTAAACTTTTACTTCTATGTTCAAATTCTACTACTCTTCGAAACTAACATATACATTTGAACAGAGCTGGAGAAGGTCCAGCAATACCAGAATGGACACATCAAGGTTTCGATATTAATGATGAAGAACAAGTAAGTCTTTCATGTTCAAAGATCTCTTTTCATCCTTCCTCAATCCCTACCCATGAATTGTAACAAGATAGATACTGACACCCAACTTCCAGATGGCCTCATTAGATCGTAGAGAAATTCAGAAAGCCCTCCGAAGCTACGATGCTACCTACCGTGCAAATTACTTTAACCCCGATCTTGTACCTGAAAAGAGATTAGGTTCATCAAGAAAATCAGGTGCTATGACGAACTGGTATCGAAAAGGTCCTATAGGACGTAGTCGAAAACCTCCTCCAAAACCACGACAAGATGTTGCGGAGAGAATTTCTCAGGATCATTTATGGCTTCTCCAGCAAGAAAGCCTAGCCAAGTCCAAAGATAATGAAGACGTTCAGATGGGTGGAACGAGTGTGATTGTTGGAGGGAGTCTCGTTGGTACTGAAGTTATTGGCGGAATGAGTGCTACGATTGATGCTCCTGGTCCTTCCGGGTTTAATTCTGGATTCGGTCAAATGAGTACTATAACTGGGGCTCTTGGTTCTTGGGGATACAATTCTAGCTCTGTTGGTGTAAACAGTGCTCCTGCTCCAGAATACAACTTTACTGCCAGTATCGCCAACAATGCTGCTGGTCCCTCTGAATATAATTTCGGAGCCGCTTCAACAGTTTTGCCCACCAATACCTCAACAGCTGTCGCCAATAATACACGAGGCGCTCTGAAATACAGTTCTGGAGCTGTTTCAAGCGCTGCTCCTATGAATGCACCAATGATTTCCATTAATGATACGTCACAACCTTCAGCACACAATTTCGGTCCCAATGCAAGGAACGTTGCAAACACCGCACCAGGTCCTTCTGGGTATAACTCTGGGACTATCGGATGTAACAATTTGAGCAGCATGGCAGCTCCTTCGGGATACACTTCTGCACCTGGTATAAACAACACAATCAATACTGCAGCAAGCTCTTTGGGACATAACACCTTGTCAGCTCCGACTCCAAGAGAAATTGGTACAAGAGGAAGTGGCGGAACGAATACCTTGAGCAACCCTTCACGTCCTATCTCCGACTACGATCAAGGATATACTAAATCTTGGACCGAGCGGGTCATGCATAACTATGCTCACTCTTTCCCCGCACATGCCGCCTCTATCCCACTCAATATGAATCTTCACAACACTATCGAAGTCCAATCTCAAGGCATTACTCACCGACCTAATCTCCCTACTGCAGCCGCATCCGCACCCGTACATGCAAGTGAAGAAATCCTTGAAACGCCATTTACAAGCCAGGAGCCTGATATGGAGAACCTCATTCCCATCAACAAAAAGATGGATGCAAGAGACGACAAAGATGAAGATTGGCAGCCAGGTCAGAAACCAAAACCAAAACCAAAAGCTACCCGAAAGACCGCTATTTCTAAAGCAGCCACTGCCAATCCAACCACACCCAAAACAATTACTCGCAAAACTCCTACTCCAAGGACCAGGAAGCCAAAGATTGCTATTCCCAGTGTCGCTGGTCCCATAGCTACCAGCCCTACAGTTGGAACACCTAATCTTATCAAACCAGCTGGCGTCCCAAGAGCTAGGAACTCCAGAGCCGCTACTGCCAAAACTGTCGGACCCAAGTCTGCTGTACCCAAAGCTACTGCTCCCAGAACTGCTACCACTAGAACTTCCGCTCCAAAGACTGCAACCCCCAAAGTTTCCGCCACAAGAGCTACTTCCAAGTCCAACACCCCCAAGCCTTCCTCATCTACCTCAACCCCCAGCCTCAAAGCACCCGTTACCAGAAAATCTTCTCTCAAAAAGAGTATTTCGGGAGAAAGCGCCGACGGTACATGGGAGCCTGATGAAGAAGACTTATAAGCCAGAAGTTTACCTTCATTGTTTTTTCTCTCTCTTCTTTTTTAGGATTATTTCTTTGGATCTGGTGCTTTCTTCTAAATTTCAATGATATGATATCCTGCTTTAGTTTGCGTTGGATGTGGATGGATTTTTAGAAGTTTTTGCAAGGCATTAGATTTATGAAATGAAAGATGGAAGAAAGGAAGGAAGGGCTTGATATAGATAATGATTTCATGAGTTGACGAGGAGTTTTTCGAGCCAGCACTACCGAGATACCTACTTGATGTGGTTAATCTGCTCGGCTTTTGGTGATAACATTTTCCGAGGATAGTTTTGAGGAACACCTTTTTTCTTCATCATTTTCTTTAGATAGATAGATATTTTGATTCCGTAATGACTCTATTAGAGATTAAGAGGTAGGGGTAATCAAATTAATACATAGATAGATCTAGCATATCAGAAAAACTAACAATGATTTCCCAAACACGCATGGAATCACAAACACTTAAGAGGTCCGCGCTCCTGCATTACTTGGATTAAGAATAGAACTATTGACTTTTTAAGAGACTATCTCAAGATGATGAGGATGCAAAAATTAGTTTATTGTTTTCGTCTCCCCTTCTTTCTATCAATTTGTTTAAAGACACCATGCGACCATCTATTTCCGTTTCCATTACCACCTGTCCCCAATTTGTCAATATAATCAATTGTGTGATCACAAGTATCCCCTTCCGTACCGCCAATAACCCCATCCCATAATAATATCGACGATATAACAATACTCCAACTCCCTCCCACCCATCCAGTCCATATAACCCCAAACCAACAACCGTAACCATCCCACCCACCCAATACCTATCGTACACCAATCCATAATCATACAAGTAGCCCCAGCCAACCAATCAATCTGCATCACCACCCATCCATCTCAATTCCCATACATACACCCTTTACTAGCTCTCCTCGCATGGTAGACCACACTCCTCCCAATCCCACACCCATGAGATCCCGTTCTCGAGTGTGATTCCGAGATATCTGAATCGTAACATCGATTTAAGTTCGCATAGTGATTATCGGAAACGACGGCTGTTGACGCAATAGCTTTTTCTTTCATGAGTGATATTCTGTTGATATGTTATTAGGATTTGAAGGTATCGAAAGAGATTTGAGAAGTGGGAAGGCTAACTTACTCATCCTCGGAATAACCGGGGAGATTTACCGCTGGGCCTTCTTGAAAGTTGAAGGGTGCACTCTGTGATGGTCATGTCAGAGATGTACAGCACAGAGTTCTAGGAAATGACTAGATACTTACTATAGATAAAGGTTTAGGAGTTTTTGATTTCATTCCAAGGGTTTCAGCACACTTGTTGCTGAACTTTAAGAGTGTAGCTTTGAGTTGTATGCAGGACATATTGATAAATGATTGAATAGAGATTGATATGGAAGTATGTGCGTATATAAATATATATTTTGCGATTTATGACGATAAGTTATTCTTATATTGGTGATTGAATGTCCTCGTGATTTTATATTGAAGATTGAGAACGGGTATGAAAATGTAAGGCAGACGCGCTTTTCTGAAACGATGAATATGCAGGATATTGGAAGACGCGTGATTGAGGAATGACTGTAATTAATGACACAAGAAAATAAATGAATGAAAGAATGATTGTTGATATAGATATGTTGCTGACTATGAAAGAAGTAGAAGAAGAAGAATTGCTGAAGAGCTGTCTGCCAATGCCTCGAATAATTAAGACTGGCGATGATTGAACAAGATATATGAGAAAACAGATTAAAGAGAGGGAGATAAATTTATGAATATAGATTGCCAGTTTGCTGTCAAGGGCAACGATACTATCATATGAGAAATTACACAGAGTCAGTACTACAATGCGTACTACTTCGGGTGCATCAGAATTCCCATTCTTTGGTACGCCTCAAAGTAACGGCAATCCGGCGACGTAACGTGGCGGATTCCTTACTCCAAAACTTGAAGGAAATGAGAAGTTCCCTTCATTACTCCCTTATCAGATGAGGCCCTTCTGGAATGTTGATGAACAAAATGCATCGCTTCTTTTCTACTAAATCTATCAAAGGGGGGGTTAACGAGCTGAATACGTTAAATGTCAAAAGGACTACTAGATACCTGGTAATAAGTAGACGAACAAATCGACTCAGTGGAACCATACAATATTCAAAGTAGCAATAAATCAACAAGAGAATGAAATTGTCCTCCATTTATCAACATGACTATATTGACTTGAAGGAAATTGATGAATTGCATAAATTCCCCTTCAATAGTTATGATGTACAGATTCAAATCAAGGAAGCACGGAATGTCGCCCAAGAACATACCCGGGATAAGGGAAAAGCGTGGAAATGTGAGGGAGCGAGGGAGCACAACAGGAAGATAGGAAATAGAAAGGGTTGATCATGTGATTAACTCTTCAGAAGAATTTCCCCTTCCAATTATTTTGCAGTAAGGCTTAATACTAGGTAATCTTCACCCATTTTTCAATTGTCTTGTCCAATTAAATGGCTCCCTTGCGTTACCTTAGAAAATGGATCAACATCAATCCAAATCTTTTGACTTGACACAAGAATTCTTCGAGATTGTATCACTAATAAAATGTGCATATTGCTTGGCTAAAAATTGATATCTGTGTACCAATGGCGTAGAAGCGCCATGGCCCATCAATGCCAGAACGACATTCGACATGTGTAGAACCTGATCATCAAAAAATAATTTCAGCGCCGTGGAAAGAGATAAGGTATATTCGTCATTCGTCTATATGAATCCTTCAATCGCTTATTTCTACTCGAATGCTCCTTTTTGACTAGAACTTATCGATTTGTGGCTCTGATTTCTGGTGTTAAAAAACTCAAAAGTCGTTCGAGAGTTCTGTACTACAAGCACACATGTGTAGAAGTAATACTTAAAAGCCCTTATTTAGGGTAATCCTTCAAGTGGTAACTCTTCAGCTTGACGAATTGTTCAAAGCCAAATTTACTTAGAGTGACACCCCTTCCGGAATTTTTCCATCCAGTCCATGCAAGGTCCTATCAATAATTGTGAGCCATGTTCATGTACATCGTTAAAGGGTAAAGGTGACTTACAGGGCTGGGATAATCACATCTGTTCACAAAGACAGTTCCAGCCTCTACGTCTTCAGCTAATTCGGCTGCTTTTGCCGTGTCTTTTGTCCAAATTGAGGCGGTCAAGCCAAACTCACTGTCATTCATGAGTTTGATAGCTTCCTCATCATTCTTTACCTTCATCACGGGTATGACTGGACCGAATGTCTCCTCAGTCATCACAGTCATACTATGATCGACATTACCAAGCAACGTAGGCTTAACGTAGTTGCCTTCTGAAGGAGGAGACTTGAAGGTTTCATTCTCGGGCGTGAGATCCTTGGCACCCTTATCTAATGCATCCTTGATATGTGCCTCGATCGTTTCCTTTGACCTCTTTGAGACGACAGGGCCGACATGCTGCATAAGCAAGTAGTAAGTATTTAGCCGGCGATAATTGTGTGTGAGGTACTTACCGTTTCCTTATTGAAAGGATCACCTAATTTGTAGTTCTTCAAGACATTCTGCAACGCCTCAATAAATTCATCATGGATCTTCTCATCAACATAGATTCTTTCCAAGCTGCAACAACTTTGACCCGAGTTGAAAACAGCTCCATCGACGATCTCCTCAGCTGCCCATGCTACATCAACATCACCTCTTACGTATGCGGGATCTTTGCCACCAAGTTCCAGTCCAACATTCACGATTCTATCTGCTGCTGCCTTAGCTGTAGCTAAACCACCAGCTACAGATCCAGTGAAGCACACGAGAGCTACCTTTGGATCTCTAACAATAGATTCGATAATGAGGGGGGAGCCGCAATGGAAGTATTGGATGACATTATCTGGAAGGCCAGCTTCAGAAAAGATGGATGCCATGTGTTCAACAATTGTAGGCGTCTGCGGAGATGGCTTGAGAATAACCGAGTTACCGGCGAGAAGGGCAGGTATCAGAGAGTTGACGAGAATAAGATAGGGGTACTGAAAACAACAAGTTAGCCAGAGAAATGAAGGCGCGGAAAACAACACTTACGTTCCATGCAAAGAGGATGAGACATGGTCCGACTGGCACCTTTCTGATGAATCTCTTGAAACCTTTCTCTGCCTCTCCATCTGTGTCTTTCAATGCATCCTCACTAATCTTCAAAAGGTATTCGCCTCTCTTCACAGCTGTGGTAACTTCTTTCGCAGTATACGCAATGGGCCGACCCATCTGTTCTGTTAATTCCTTTGCCAATTCATCTTGCTTATCGTTCAAGAGCTTAAGAGCTTTCTTGACGATATCTTGACGTTCTTTCAATGAAGTCTTACGATACTTCAAGAATGCTTCAGTGGCAGTGACGGGCAATTGCTGTAAATCTTCTGCAGAGATTCCAGTTCTGGTCAAGACAGGCTTGTTGGTGATGGGAGAAATGGTAGTGATTGTTTCGACAGACATTTTGCAAACTTTGTGTATTCTTAATTGTATGAAATTCCAAGCAACAATCACAATGACACTCTTCTTATGTTGCAGATTTAATTCTAGTGGGGGTGGTGGGATAAAGAGAGTCAATCAAAGCTATCAGTGACGCCCACTTACCGGTATCGCTATGCGTCAATATCATGACAGGATGTAACAGGGGTTCCGACAGTTTCCAAGCCGCTAAAATTTTAAACTTTTGGTGAATACACCACCCAAAAAAATTGATAAGTGATCCTGGTCAAAATTTATAATTCTTTACAATCCGAATTTCTTCCAATTCATCAATCAAGCTACTCGACCAACCAACCAAGCAATAAGTCAATCGATCAATCAATCAGTCAATCGGTCAATCGAAGGAATGGCGACGAGAAATCACAACGATTTCCTAGATCTGGAGGAGAGTGACGGAGATGAGAGTCAAGGATATAATTCGGAAGCAGAGGATCTCAAAAAGGGTAGCAGAAGTTTAAAGAGGAGAAAAGTTGATGACGATCAAAGCGACGACGAAGACATTGATCAGAATAGCGATCAAGAAGAACAAGAATCTAAGGATGATATAATCGAGGAAGCTTCAAAAGAGATCGAATCGAAATCAGATGCGAAATCGAAACCAAAGAATACCTCGAAAGAATTGGAATTGCCAGGAATCTCAAGGCCTCTCACGAAGAAGAATCTTGTCGCAAGTGCTGCTGCTATCAAAAAATCCGGCGTTGTCTATCTTTCCAGAATACCACCTTTTATGAAACCAACAAAATTAAGATCACTCCTTGAACCATACGGTGACATTAATCGCATATTCATGACACCTGAAGATCCAGCTTCGCACACAAGACGAGTTCGCAATGGAGGAAATAAGAAACGATCATTTGTGGACGGGTGGGTAGAATTTGTGAATAAAGCGGACGCCAAGAAAGTGTGCGAATTATTGAATGCGAAAACAATTGGAGGCAAAAAAGGAAACTATTATCATGACGATGTGTGGAATCTTCTCTATTTGAAGGGTTTCAAATGGAACAATTTGACGGAACAGATTGCGGCAGAAAATGCGGAAAGAAACAGCAGAATGAGAGCTGAAATCAGCAAGACGACGAAGGAGAATAAGGAATATGTACAAAACGTTGAACGCGCGAAGATACAAGAGGGAATGGAAGCTAAGAAGGCTGCAAAGAAGAGGAAGGATGGCGACGACGCCGAGGTCACAAAGGATGAAAACGTGGAGGCAAAGAAGCAGAAGAAGGATGCTAATGGACCTATGCGCTTCAAGCAAAATGCTCCAGCATTGAAGAACAAGACTCAGAGTCAACCAGAACAGGTGAAGAGGGTTTTGAGTAAGATTTTCTAGACTAATAAAATACATCGTGAAGGGAGTATGGCATCTACATAATTCAACTATCCCCATGTTGGCCTTCTCAACGAACTAAAGAAAACTTCCAATAATTTTAACAGATACATGTTGTGCTCTGTTGTCAACCACCCTTCAATCATTTCTTGTGTTGCAGCATCAACAGCTTTTCCAAAAGCATCGAAGTTTCTTCTCAATCCTTCCACATTGATATTCCTCCCCGAAGCTGCAGCATTCTTTTCCAACTTCTCTACTTGTATTTCGGCCATGGCACGCCAAGTTTCAATAGCTTGAAGATTATCATCCAAATTTTGAACAAGCTCAGCATTGAAGGTAGCCTTCATTCTCAACTTTTCATATTGCTCTAAATCTACTCGGAATCCAGGAAGATGCATTTCCACATCTCTCCAGATAATTCTCAAGACGCTGTGAGCGGTGGGTTGGCTATATAAAGGACTTGCTAAGTGCGTAGTCCATTCATGAATTGTTGCAGCCGCTCGTCTCTCTTGGTCTGGTCGGTAGCATCGTGGGTCTTTTTTTGCAATGATTCCAGTGCGGAATTGGCGGGCTAGAATCTCTCCCTGATCTTCAAATTCCAGCCAGCCCGGAGGAAGTGGACCACGGGTAGGATTTAGTTTTGTTCTTTCGTTTGTTGCGATGTTGTAGTAGAATTTTGACCCATCGCAGCATTGTCTTTGCTCCCACCACTCGGGGTTGGATATCGTTGATTTGGGCATTGGATGGATTGTACTTATTATGCTCGTTGTTTTCTTCTCTCTTCGGAGTGATTGAATGATCGAACATCATTCTAGAGCAGTCATTGCCTGTCTTTTATATCTTGGGCTTCACCAGTTAAATTTCGCTATATAAATATTTCTATTTCACTCATAGCTTCTCACCGATATTATACCAACGGAGAAACAATCATAGAGCCAGAGATGTTGGCCTTATTGAAATTTTTCTTACCAAATATCTACCAGTCATAGTTGATATATCTTTCGTTTCACGATTCGTTAGTGACTGTCATTCCTTCTCTGGTTTACTGACGCTATCATGTACTCTCCTTTTGGAAGATGGCATTGCCATCCTTCATCAGGTAAATTGTCAATTTCTAATTAGCTACTCATTTATCTCAATACTTTTCAACACACCTCACTTGACTTGTCACAACACTCCGAAAGCAAACAAATTTCGAGTCATCAGTGAAAGAGATGGGATCAATCCAATTTTAATATCCATATACGTAATGATTTAAGTCTACCCTCGGTGACGTTTCAGTCCAGATACCCTCTCAGCTTTCCAGTTTTAGAAGCAAAATATCCCATTATCTGCGTACCAGACCTACGTGTTCCCCTGTATATTCCTCCCTAATTCTCCTCACCATACTCTCGTCCTGCAATCTCTCAACAACCGCACTCAAAGAATTCAACTCCTTCACCAAAAATCCAAGCATATCTTTCTGCAGCTTCTCTCTCATCTTCTCCCCATCTTTGTACAATCTATAATAATCTTCTCTTGCCTTTCTAGCCTCTTTCTTGCTCCTCTCTGCTACTTCCCAAAAGCTTCCGAGACGACCCATTGGTACCGGAAGTACACATCTGGATTTCAAATACTTCATAAGGTCTTCCTCTGCTTTATTGATACAGTGAAAATATTTCTCACGCGCTGTTTTGGTACCTTCTGCTGCTTTTTCCATCTCGGTGAAAAGACCTGGGGGAGGTGTAATGGGCGAAAGACGGTGAAATGTTGGTAGATCATATCTTGCTTGTTCTCTCTCCCTTTGAAGGTAATGATGTTGGTAGTATCTGCGGTCTCCCATTTTACTTATTAGGGGTGGTGTTTCTGATTGGGATCGTGTGCCGAGTTCTCTGCTGTGCTGGTTCTGAAAAGATAACTATGCCACAATGATTTTATCTTCATTATATGGTCTTTGTTCGTTTGCATATTAACAGCATCCAGATGCATATGACTGCATTGTGAGATATCATGACGATGTGAAATTCGTGGCTGCTTCTTTCAACAGTGTTCGCCAACACATAAGGTATCACTAATGGTAGTATAAAAGAATGTCGGAGAGGGGGGTCTTGCGGTTAAATTCAGAAAGTATAATAAGACTACATCACATCATATAATGGGTCTCTTAAGGCTTCAAACGGTGTTTCTATCAAGGTCTCGAAATCTTCCAATTATTATTTTGGCTTCATGAATCATCGATTCGCTAAAACAAAATTGCATCATCCACCCGAACTTTCACGCCCATCTTCCCTTCACTAAGCACAAGTAGCCTCGATCTCTTCTCGCCACTCCTACGTTCCTTCTTCATACTTCCTGATAGCTCTTTCCCGATCCTGAGCTTTCCTCATTGCATTCCTAAATCTCACTTGTCTCTGATCAACCTTCCTCTGGAACTCCTCCGAATCTTTCTTCATGCCGTTATAATAATTCTCTATATCTGTCCACCACATTCTACTACGCAAATCAGATGCATCCAATTGTCCCTCCAATTTATGAATTTCATCCTCGAGATACAAGATCTTTCTTTTGAGTTGTTCGTATGACATTTTGGGAGCGATTCTCGTCTGAGGATTTGCGGGAATTCTGCAGCTACTTGAGGATTTAGAGTATTGTGGCGAGTGATTGTAAGAGGACTTTGAGCTTGAGAATATTCCCATTTTGTCTTCTTTTGTTGTATTTACTCGAGTCTTTTATGGAGGAGCTCACTACGTTCGTGAAATTTTGGTTGGTCTCCTCTACTCGTGATATATATTACCATCGTTTCAAAGTTTGCTGGTTCAAGTCATGATGATTGTAATACTATCTAATCAGCATTGATATGTCACAAATTGGCAGACTATAGTCACTATCCAAACAACCCTTACGACTTATCTTTCGAGTTTGTTTGTGAATCATTCATGGAGTGTTTACACAGCAACTGATAATCTGCTTTCCATTTCATATGCAAGGTGTTTAATACTAAATAGTTCACGAGTCATTCTATCAATCTGTGGCCAGTCTAGTCAAATCATTTGTCGAATTATGAAATTTTATTGCATAAGCTACCTTTAGATAACAAGTATCTATTCCACAAATCAAGTCTGGTCATTTCAATTTATATTAAGAATCACTTGTGGGCAATATCTAGAGCTTAGCTTACATAATTGATCAATTCGCTACGAAATTACAAAGTTTTCCTACCAAACATCATCCAAAATTTTACCTCTATGAATTTCCACTAAATTGCCCCCACTCATTTTCCGTCGCCCCAGCCGCCTGTTCTTCTTTCTTTTCTTCATCTCCCCCATCATCTCCCCCACCTCCCCAGCCTTTATTTGATGAAACATCTTTGACTCCTCCATTCCCAAAGCCCTGGTCTCCTTGAGCCTCAGACTCAACCTTTCCTGTTTGATCCTCTTGATCCCAATCGGCTTTCTGGCTTGATTGATAGTCCCGGCTTCCCTGATCCTCTTGTCCCACCAAATAATTCCCAGCTCCTTGGCCATTTGCTCCGCCACCATACTTTGATCCCCGACTTCCACGAACTCCCTCCTCCTTTGCCTGAGAACTTTTGACACCTCCTGTCTGGCCCCCACGATTTCTCCGCACACCGGAACTACTTTCGCCTCGATTATCATCTCTGCTGTACTCATTCCTCTGAGCTCCATAGCCATTCAAATCCCGATTATCATCTCTACCAATCCCACTATTTTCAACTCCATCTCTTTCATGCCTAGCCAATCCCATTTTATTCCTATAACTTGCTTCCTTCTGTTCTAAACTCTCTTGTAGATTCGCATAATCCTCTCTCAGACCCCTGAATAGATTCTCCACGTATTTCCGCCAGGCTGCAAGAGTATCCTTTTCGGACTTCACATAACTAGCTACATTCTTCTTCTCTGCCGAGACTTCCTTCTCTAACGCAGTGACTTTCCTCCTGAGCAGATCGATTTCCGTTTTTTGTCGAAGTTCGACTGGGGTTCGATTAAATAGTGATGGCATGATTTTAGTGATGAATTTTTGCCGAGTTCGAACTCGGTAAAAAATGGTAAGAATAAACAATTATCTGGGTTCGAAAGATATTCCTTAGCCTAGGTGAGAATCATGATGTTGAAATATCAAAATGGTTACCTTACTTAACACAATATATATTTCAAAATGCACGAAGTTTGCATTCTATATTGCACGGCAAGCAACCACTGTCAAAGTGACTGTTGATATTAGCGAGGTACCAAACAGAAAGTTTTCAGAATCTTCAAAGAGCAAACAATGAGCAATTTCAAAAACACTCCATCCTCGGAATGACTAACAGCCATGAGTTAGAAGTGCCTGCAGCCATATATATATGCAAAATTTTGCAAAATTTGAATCATCGTGGAGACCACAATCCCTCTTTCCAAACCAACTCCTCCACTCTTCGCTCTCTCTACCACTCTCTCCAAGTATCTATCTAAACCATCGGCCCTACCCTTCTTTACCCGAAACAATCCCTTCATCTTATCATTTACCTAGCTTCTAACTTATAACTTCTAACCAAGGATATATATCCCTTACACTCTCTCTCTATCAACAACCAAACCAAACACAACATTCTTCCTTCATGAGCATCAAGAATTCCACACAACGGTTCCAAAACATTCAATTCTATTCACCAAAGCAAAATCAAGTGACTCATGCAATCCGCGAATAGAAAAGTCCATCAACAAATCTCCAAAAACACGCACAAGATCTCCCTGCATAACATGCTTACCCATCAACTCCTATAAACTTCCCCTCCATACCTACGCAACCCACCATTCCCACCATCCCCACAACGCAGGACTCAGCTTACCACTTACCAATTACCGCCTACCACTCTATCCACAACCATCCCGACATCTATGCATCACCAAATCTCAAACACCCATTTCCCATTTCCTATTTCCTCATTGACAAACTCCCCAACAACACAAAAGTCCGTCAGTATACATCCACCAAATCGACTCATCTTCCCACAGCAATCTAGCGCTTTAAGCCATTTCCCGCAGTAGTAGTTTCATCATAACCTCCTCTACTACCGCATACTCACTCAATACCCCAAAAGTTTTCCAGTCTCCCAACAACAACCATTCCAGAAATCAAAATGTTAGCTCAAGATATCCTCTCTTTCCCTTAGGATGATAGGCTAACCATCTCGATTCTTTCCGATCACTTTCGTTTTAATAAAAACCTAGTGCATGACATCCAAAGACTCTTCCTGCGTAAAAACATCACCCCAATGGTTTTCTCATTGGCTCTAAAACATTACTCGCATCCACCCGGCCCCCTCAATTGTAACTCTGTCTCTCACCACCGTGATCTATACATATCGGACTTCACGATCACACAATTAAGAACCAAAAACCTAAGCAGAAAAAATGTTATTAATCTTATTCAGAGATGAAATCTGCAAAACCCTAATTACGCCTCATTGCATTCCATTCTGCCCATCTTGAAATCAACTTTCAAGCTCAAATAAAATCCGGTGATGTAATGTAACCAAGTTTTCCTTTCCTTCTTCACTACAACCATTTCTCACATCCATACAATTCAGATCGCTCCAATGCTTCAAAACCCAATCCTACCCCCATTGATTCCCTCAAATTTTTTCAAACCCCAGTAAGAAAATTATTCAAATCGTCGAAAGATTGACAATGACGACTCCGTTTTATATGCATGTAATTCAAATATAAATCTCTCTCCATTCATTTCCCTCATAGTTGACCAGAAAGAAGTGCTTCAGTTGCTATTTAAAAGTTAGTTGACGTAGAATCTGAATTGGGAATAAATAATAACATACCAGAATTAATATAAGCTCTTCTAGCATCAAGTGAAACACCAAATCTCTTCTCTAACTCCATCTTGATACTCTTTTTCGTAATTGTCATCAAATCAGCTGTTCTGAGAATATCTCTAATCTCTTGTAAGATAGAGTCATCACTTGGCAAACCTGCCAAATTGGACATTTCCATTTCTTGTTGACCGAAATATTGACTTCCGCTGAATTGACTAGCACGATTTCCTGGTGTCCCCATTCCCATTTCTGATGGAGCCAATGAGAGACGGGATTGATATGGATTGCCATTCTTGGAGTCGATACCATAACCATTATACTGGGACATTGAACGAGACGCGGGAATGGCGTATTCCGAGACATTATGTTGATACTTAGTGCCATAGGAATATCCTGAAATTACAGATCTTCCATCGTCATCTTGCTGGGTTTGAGCTTCCCAAAGCTCGGCTTGATAATCTTCCCATTTCTTGTGTGGAATAGATGCGGGATCAAACACTCCTTCATCAGTGATGACAATCTGTTTACCTGACTCTCCGGTAACAACACGAGTGTTACCCCAGGAGAAATCATCCATATGCCAGAAACTATACAATGGAAGACACAAGGAGTACACAGGAATGGCAAGGATATAAAGAATCATCCATCCAATCATTTCCCATTTGCGTCGTACGATGAAGATAATTGCTTGCAAACCATAGATCGCAGCAAGTAGAATGAAAGCCGTGATAGGAACAAAACTTGGCGATTCAATAACGAGGACGATGAGATAGACGATATATGCAACAGTGACCGGTTGAACCAATGTGGAGATCAAATCAATCATGACAACGAAACGCATACTGAAGCAGCAGAAACCACAAAGTTCGGACATAGGCACGAGTTCAGCAAGGTTGTGTACTGTTGAGTTAATCCAGCGACGACGTTGAGAAAGGAAGACAGCCCAGGAGTCAGGAGCAATAGTCCAAGCGTGAGCGGTACTGATGTACTTGGTCTTGTACTTGGCATGATGTTTCATGAGAAGTGTGGTTAAGTAACGATCTTCTCCCAGATGTAGCAAGTTCTTCATGTGAAGTGTATCGACTCGAATATTGGCATAGGCTTCCACAACTTCGCGACTGACGAATAGAGGCTTTCCGGATTCTGCAGCTCGAACACGATACATTGTGAAACAACCTGGCAGACAAGTGACACTACCAAACAAACTTTCGAACGCTTTAGCCAGATTGTGAGAGATGAAGTACTCATAAACTTGAATCATAGTGACGAATGAAGATTTGGAGTTCGTTAATGCCGTCTCTCCACAAACACCGAGTAATTTAGTATCGTCCAAGAATGCTGAAACCATTCGTGAGGCAGAGTCCGCTGCAACGACCGTATCGGCATCAATTTGTAACATAAATTCATAAAATGTCGGATTGACACCAATGATATTGCGAATTTGATGATACATTTCAAGCTCGAGAGGGCTCATCGGCGCATTGTAGTGAACACGGTTCAAGAATCGCATCATGACCATTTGAGAATCACGCTTTCCTCTGTTTCCTGGTTTAGAAACTTCAGAAGGCTTGCCAACTTTCACGACGACCAAGAAAGGAACGATATGACCTTGGACCTCGTAAAGACCGGAATAACATTTGCCCATATTGTGCTGTTTCATTCCTTCTCCCAAAGACTCAAAGCTCAGGGGTTCAGGATCAACAGTTTCTGATACTCCAAGAATATCCAAAACAATACGTGGAGTAGGCCTGTCGTTACCTTGACCAATAATCATGCCATCACAAATGACAACCAAGAGTTTACGCTTGTCGTCATACTTCATTCTGGCGATGGAGTCGATAGCACGTCGAAGAGAGTCCTCGTCTTCTGTATAGACAGGCACTTGACAGATGACGAACTTATCTAGATTTTCGGGGACGTTTTTGCCACCGAATTGAAGAGCCGCGAAAAACTTGAAGACGATGACAGAACTAAGAATAATCGTGATGGCCAAAATCAAGTACTCAGCAAATTGACACTTGATAGAGTTTCTAGTATCAACATCTGCAACATAGAAAAGATTATCGAGACAAATCTTCATTCTAGACCGCATCTCGTCACTAATGGCAAGAGCATTCCAGTATTTCGTGACGTCCTTTCCAGATTTTTGTTGAAACAAGTCCACGACTAAGGGTGACATGAAGTCGACACTAACATCCGAGGATGCAGTTTCACCCTCAGGAACAATGATTTTACGGCCCCCAGAAATGTACTTGGTAAGGTCATAGACTTTACCATCAATGATGCCGATCGAGTCCAATTTCGAAGCAAGCGTTTTAACATACGACGCCGTATAACCAATGTGACCCTTGTAATAACCGGACTCTTTAAGCATGATCATTTGCTCTATGAACCAATCGGGACGGGAATCATTCTTGAAGGCACGGAAGTCATGATATGCAGCATTGGCATCTGTGCTACTGACTGTCGAGGCAGAACCAGTGACATTAGAAGAAGTATAATCAAGTTGCACTGAAGGATCGATAGAGCCTGTGGTTCCTTGACAGAGAGCCGAGACTTGAATCGGAAATAGGCCAGTAGCATCAATACCAGCGTACTTCAAGATACTCTTTTGGGGTATAATCGACGGGTAATGACGAGTTGAAAAACTTGAAAGGTCAAAAACCGTTCCTCTAATGGCAACATAGGCATCGTCGCTTTTTCCATCGTACGATGACAACTCAGCAGCACTAAACACGTGTTGAGTTGGACAAATCAATTTTGGAAAGATCACGACGAAGAAAGCGGAGAAGAGACAAGCCCACCAAATCATCATATTGATCGCAAGCTTTTCTCTCCAAGCCAACCGAACGTCTTTTCGAGGCATGCGACCGATCATTCGTATCAAGAAATCAGGAATGAGCCAAGTCATCAAGTACACCATTGCTACCCATCTCTTACGACTCGGGCTGTCTCTAACTTCCTCTACCTCAACCATGGTCTTTTCATTTCCCTTCTCAGCCAATTGCTCTTTGGTGTCTAAATTGCGGAACATATCACCTTGGCCAAGAGCTGAAGCACCAGCATCAGAGCGTGCATCGTCTTGGCTACCAAAGTAACCAGATTTCTTGTCTCCATAGAACGCTCCAGGGGATGGTGTGAGTAGAGCGGCCCCAGGACCCAAAAGACGTTCTTTTGAGGCTCCATAGTT